GAAGGCGGGGTAGGGGTCGACCTAGGAAAGGTTGGAGGGAGGGGGTAAAGGACGTTTTGTGTGCAAGGGGCTTGGACTTCCAGCAGGCATGCAGTTTGGAGGGATCTGTTGTGTATCTCTATACGTATATGCTTCTAAACTGTTATATTGAGAACCTCTGCAAAATGCAGTGAAAATGTGTGAGTGTGAGTTGAAAGTGTTGAAATGATGTATGAAAGTATTTTCTCTTTTGGGTTTTCTTTCTTTTTTTTTTGGGTCACCTGCCTCGGTGGGAGACGACCGATTGTTGAAAAAAACAAAAAAAAAAAAAAATGCTCACCGTGAGCGTAGTTTGATAGAGTGGAATGGAGACAAGATGGTTTTTAATACCTTGAACTGTTTGCTGTTGGAGTGTGAGCAACAGTAAAACATTATGAAGGGGTTTCAGGGAATCGGCCATGGCCGGCACTTGAGTCCTGGATCGTTGGGAGTACAAGTGCCTGCACTCTGAAGGATGTGGTGTTAATGTTGCAGTTTTTAAAACTGTAGTGTAAAAGCACCCTTCTGGCAAGACAGTGATGGAGTGAATGATGGTGAAAGTTTTTCTTTTTCGGGCCACCCTGCCTTGGTGGGAATCGGCCAGTGTGATAATAAAATAAATATAAACATTGACACAGTAATAGCAGTTTCATTTGCTCAGCATTCAGGGAATGGCTCCCTGAGACAAAGACAAACAGATGGGAAGACAGACACACACAGGCAGACAGATAAACGGACAGGCAAACAGACACAGACAGACATATTTGTGTGCAACAGTGAAACAAATAAAGCGAGGGTTCCCTGCAGCAGCTCACATTTGTTAAATGTCACTGGCTGTCACCAGTTATCTCACTTGTCTTAACACCATTTTTCAAGGAGTTTCATATATATACTCCAGCATGTCTCAAACATTGCAAAGACCTATAAATACTTTGTATATATTTCTAGACGATAGTAAATGACCGAGGCAGGTGAAAATGTTCACCTGTCAGTCTGATTGTTACTATTCGAGTACTATTTCAGTAGATAATATTAGTGTCAGAACAAAGATTGCCTATGAAATAACAGGAACTATTATAATCTGTATTTATTCAGAACATCAAAAATTATATGAAATTAAAAAATAAAAAACGAGAAAGAAAGGTATATCGGAACACTTCTGCAAGAAGGCAGGATGGCTGTTGCCATCAGGTGAGCATCCAGAGCCAATTTCTCGGCCTTATATCTTGGCAAGTACTGGTCCTAAAAAAATTTTTTTTTTTTGGTCTCATACAACATGGAAAATTGTCCTCTTTAACCCTTTCAGGGTCCAGAGGCCAAATTTCAAAGAGTGCACCAGTGTCCAAGAATTTTCAAAAAATAATTTTGCTATTTTTTCTTATGAAATGGTAGAGAATCTTTTTCCAAAGGTAATAAAACAAAACGTACGAAATTTGATGGAAAATTGACGAAATTATACTCTCGTGAATTCTGGTGTCAGCGACCAAATTCTTAGCAATTTCACTAATATTACTTCTATGCTATCAATTGAGCACAAGAATTCGCCAAGTCAACTGTTTCAACTACAAAATAAAGTGATCGGAAATTGGTAATTTGGCCAATTTAACCCCTTCAGGGTTTTCGACATACTAGTACGGCTTACGCACCAGGGTTATTGATGTGCTAGTATGCCTAAATTCTAGCGCCTTCAAATCTAGCGAGAGAAAGCTGGTAGGCCTACATATGAAAGAATGGGTCTATGTGGTCAATGTGCGCAGTATAAAAGAAATCCTGCAGCACACAGTGCGTAATGAGAAAAAACAAACTTTGACCATGTTTTTGGATTAAAACAGCGACTTTGCACTGTATTTTTGTATGGTATTTATGGTTGTATTCTAGTTTTCCTGGCCTCATTTTATAGAATGGAAGACATGTTACAGAAATTGAGATGATTTTGATTGGTTTCATGATGAAAAGTACCTTGAAATTGAGCTCAAAGTAGCAGAAATGTTTGATTTTTACCAAAGTTCAAAAGTAAACAAATCATGCCAAGCGTCCAATACACGTCAACTGGTGAGTCTAATATTCTTTCATAAGTGCACTGATATTATTTATACCATTTCTACACTAATGCAGTAGTCTGCATAACAGTAAATTTTTTATTTTTTGTGAGAATAAAAATTCAAAGTGGAAAGCAAAAGAAATGTAAGAGGGGCCTGGGGACATGACTACCGAACAGAGAACTTGTTACTGTATTTTAGTGCCAGGAATGTCTGTCTTATTTATTCTGGACCCTATTTGGAAATTGGCATCTTCTGAAATTTATGTGAAATTGGCAAAATTGCCAATTTCTAACCACTTTATTGGACAGTTGAAATTGGTAAATGGGTGGTTTCTTGTACTTATTCAATAGAAAAAATGGAGTTCTAGCGAAATAAATATGTTTTTTGTTGACTAGTACACAAGAATCAGCCGAAAATAGGGCTCAAAGTGGGCAAAATTGCCAATGCGTAAACATTGTCGAGACCACTAACTTCGCGAGAGCATAATTCCGTAAGTTTTCCGTCAAATTTCATACTTTTGGTGTCATTATGATCGGGAAAAGATTCTCTATCATTTCATGAGTTTTTTTTTTCTGAAAAATTTTCAACCCTGAGAAGGAGTTTTGGAGAGGGCCTCTCGACCCTGAAAGGGTTAATGCAAAGTACGAAATACTCCAGTTTCAAAATAGGGTCCAGAATAAACAATGCAGGCATTCCTGGCACTAAACTAACATTTCCTCTGCTCATTAGTTACATTTTCAGGCTTTACTAATGAATTCCATTTTGATTTTTTATTCACATAATGAATTTTTATTCAAACCAAAACATAGAAGATTTACTGTTATACAATATTGTAATAGTTGTATAAATAATATCAGCACATTTGTGAACGTATATTAGACCCACCAGCAGGTGTGTATTAGACGTGTGAGGTCATTTGTTTACTCTTGAACATCGGCAAAAATTTAACATTTCCGCTACTTTGAGCTCAGTTTCAAGCCATTTCCAGTGCTAAACCCAATCAAAATCATCTCTATTTCTGTAATATGTCTTCCATTCTATCAAATGAGACCAAGATATTCCAAATACAACTATAAAAAAACATACGAAAAAACACTGCAAAGTTGCTGTTTTAATCGAAAATTACAGTCTCAGTTTTTTCTCTCTCATGCACTATGTACTGCAGGAATTGTTTTAGGTGGTGCATACATACCACATAGATGTATTCTCTCATATCAAGGCCAAAATTTACCGCTCACAGCTTATCAGAGTGAGTTGAGCTCATGACGTAGATCTATGGTTTGGACCCTCAAAGTAAAGCCGTAGATCTACGGCACGAACCCTCAAGGGATTAATTTAAAAAAAAAAAAAATTATTTTTCAAAATATTCGGAGTGCCACACAAGTGAACGTAGATCTACGTTTGGACAGTTTAAGGGTTAAAAGAAGATATGCTATTTCAACTAACTTTTTTAGAAATGCATTTTTTTTTTTAACAAGTCGGCCGTCTCCCACCGAGGCAGGATGACCCAAAAAAGAAAGAAAATCCCCAAAAAGAAAATTCTTTCATCATCATTCAACACTTTCACCTCGCTCACACATAATCACTGATTTTGCAGAGGTGCTCAGAACACAACAGCTTAGAAGCATATACCTATAAAGATACACAACATATCCTTCCAAACTGCCACTATTTAATTTCCTTTTACAGAATTATCCTATATTCCTATATTGTTCTTCAACTCTATCATTACTATTAGGACAAGTGTTGATATATAAATATTTACTTTTTTTCTTTTTTATAGGTATTTCATATGACCCTCTTAATTATAACATCCTCACCCCTCCCTCAGAGTGAGGCACTGTACTCCCCACCTCCAGAGCTAATTCTGACTAAATGGTTAACCTGAATCTTTTCAACAATATTACCTTACACTCCAGCAGTATAACAAATCCCCAAAATCACTTATCTCCATTCATTCTGATCTAAAAAGTTCCTACATGCCTGCTGAATACTCAAGCCCCTACCACTCAAAACCTTGATTCCCTTCCTTCTTCCAACCCTTCCTGAGATAACTTCTACTCCTGCTATCCACCCCATATTATACACTCCCCTATATCAACCTATTGAGCTGCATCCTTTCTAAATGATCAAACCATATCAACAACCCCTCCTCAGCCTTCTGAATTATACCTTTCATATTCCCTCATCATCCTCTAATGCCTATGCTCATTAATCTCAAATCTTATACTTATGATTATTCTTATTATAATTATTTTATTCATAGAGAAGCACCACATCTGTAAGAGCCATATAGCACAGCAATATTCGTAGTCTGCCAATACAGTGGACCCTCGCATAACGATCACCTCCGAATGCGACCAATTATGTCAGTGTATTTATGTAAGTGCGTTTGTACGTGTATGTTTGGGGGTCTGAAATGGACTAATCTACTTCACAATATTCCTTTTGGGAACAAATTCGGTCAGTATTGGCGCCTGAACATACTTGTGGAGTGAAAAAATATCGTTAACCGGGGGTCCACTGTATTCTTGAAATTTAATAGTGCATCGCTGTGCTTTAAAAACAAGCAAAAATCTGTTTCTTACAACAGAATTTGAGTAACCATGATGATGTATTATACTTCTTTCTTGTATTGCTATACAGTTACTTCTAAAACATGATCTGCAGCTGTTACTTCTAAAACATGATCTATAGTTAACTCTACTACATCACCTACTGTTGTTACATATATTGCAAGACCTACAGTTATTACCTGCAAAACATGACCTACAGGTAAGCTAGTTAATTTTGTTTGCAAGTATTGATTCATTTATTCAAAGGTACTAAATTATTACTATGGTACATCATCTCAATATTTCCAGAGCACAGTGAATGTGCTGAGTATCACAGTAAATTGGAAGCACCATATTCTCTACTTTATAATATTTTTCATCCCACCTGTTATTTTCAGCTTCTTTGGATACTATGAGTGTATGTACCTCTTGAAGTCTCTCTATGGCCAATGACATTAGTCTTTTCTCCACACACACTCTTTCCTTCTGAAAAAAGTACAATACAAGGCTGAAATACTGTACTGTACCAATTTTTTATTTAGATTTATCATCAGGAATAATTTTATTATCCATGAATTTTAAAAAAATAACCACAAATTAATAAAGTATTGGTAATCCAGCTTAATTAAAAACTATATTATTGTTTCTATAAAAACTACAAAAATATTTATTACTGTTTCTGTAAAAACAACAGGACTAAACTTTTACAACAGACATGCTCAGCAGAGCAAGAGGGAAAGAAAACAGAAATGATAAATGACCATGCAGGAACAGGAGTGGAAAGGACAACAAAGATGAAACAAGAAGAGATATGAAGCACAGAGATCTCATGATATCTGAGTTAAGCAAAGAAAGATAACCAGAGAGGAAACATGAAGCAAAGTGGAGAATTTTGTCAGACATGATGGAGGAGATGAGAACAGCACATGAAATTAAATAAATCTCTTATTTAAAAATAGGAGCATATAGGAAGGGAAATCAACAGCTATTGTAAATTCTGTTCACAACAATGACACGAGACCTGCTACCAAGAAGAAAATTCAATTTCAGAGGTTATGCATTTTCAAACAATCTACGTATATCAAATTAGATTGGACAGAGTAAGAATGAAAAGCTACAAAACAGAAATGGGAAAGAAAAAAAGTGCTGTAGGAGAAAAGGAATGATCAGAGGCTGTCTACCTTAGGAGTAAAATTTTACTTTATGAGATTTAGGAGACCACCAACAAGGAGTCAGCCACACCTCACTGTACTCCCTCTCCTTCTCTTGGTCTTATCTACCATCTGGCACTTTCTCACTTTTCAATACACAGCCCCATGTCCTAGTAACTCCCATATACACAATCCTTCCTTTCCTCTCACATTTTTCCTTTTCCCATAAGAAAATTCTTTTCCTAACCCTAAAATGGCTCCTATACCATCCCATTATCCCTTTCTTCACTGTATATCACTCACAATCTGCTTTGCTAGCAGTAACCCCTATGTATCTGTCTCCTACCAAGATACTCTATTACACCTACTCTCCACCACTGTGATTCTTGCTTCATGATCTACTATCTCCCTCTCATCATTTTGCCTCTCTCCCCAGCACACTTATTCCACTGAATTTCCTTTCCCCATTCCCTCCCTAAATCTCCAAGGAGACTCCTCATCCATTAGCTCTCAAAGCAAAACTAGAAAGCAGAAATGACTGGAAAACAGTGAAAGAAGAACCAGTGGTATGACAGTGCCAATGGAGTCCCCCCCCCAAAAAAGTGCAGTCCCCCTCCAAAAAAGGAAAGGAAAATTTGGATATTGTAGTTATTATGAAGACAAAACTCAGAGGAGTACTGTATTAACAAATGGAATATTCCCAGAGGAGGTACAAAAAAGGAGTAGAGATGATTATTTGAAATTACTGTACAAGAAATATGAGGAACTGCAGGAGGTATTTTAATGTCTAAAGACAAAGATAATACTGTAGTGGCAGTGGTATATGAACACCACCAACAGGAGGCCAAAGGAGCAGAATGGCAACAACAACAACAGGGCAACCACTGACCTATTATAAACAGCAATACAGCAAAGCTAAATTACTGATACTAAGAGTAAAGAAACTGACCAGAACTGGGACTCTCTATGGGGAACTGGAAACTGCACCTAAACCATCATAAAGGTAGAAGAAGCCCAAAGACATACTACAAACTGACTTGTATTCCTAAGAAAAATTATGATGAAAGAGTGAAAACACTAAATATGCTCTCGTTGGCTAACAGGAAGTAAATACAATATTTTTTTTAACACGTTGGTCGTTTCCCACCAAGGCAGGGGGACCCAAAAAGAAAGAAAGAAACTTTCATCATCATTTAACACTTTCACCATCATTCATACATAATCACTGTCTTTGCAGAGGCACTCAGATATGACAGTTTAAATGTCCCTCCAAACTGCCAATATCCCAAACTCCTCCTTTAAAGTGTAGGCATTATACTTTCCATTTCCAGGACTCAAGTCTGGCTAACCGGTTTCCCTGAATCCCTTCACAAAACACTACCCTGAGCACACTCCAACAGCTCATCAGGTCCCATAAACCATACGTATCCATTCACTCCAATCTAACATGATCACGCACGCTTGCTGGAAGTCCAAGCCCCTCGCCCACAAAACCTCCTTTACCCCCCCTCCAACCTTTTCGAGGATGACCACTACCCATCTTTCCTTCCCCTAGAGATTTATACGCTCTCCAAGTCATTCTACTTTGTTCCAATCTCTCTAAATGACCAAACCACCTCAACCACCCCAGTTCAGCCCTCTGACTAATACTATTAGTAACTCCACACCTCCTCCTAAGTTCCACAATATGAATCCTCTGCATAATATTTACACCACACATTGCCTTTAGACACAATATCTCCACTGCCTCCACCCTCCTCCTCGTTGCAGCATTTACAACCCATGCTTCACACCCATATAAGAGTGTTGGTACCACTATACGTGCTCTCATATTCTCCCTTCTTTGCCTCCATGGATAACGTTTTTCGTCTCCACAAATACCTCAACGCACCACTCGCCTTTTTTCCTTCATCAATTCTATAGTTAACCTCATCCTTCATAAACCCATCCGCTGACAAGTCAATTCCCAAATATCTGAAAACATCCACTTCTTCCATACTCCCTCCCTCCAACGTGATATCCAATTTTTCTTTATCTAAATCATTTGATACCCTCATCACTTTACTGTTATCTATGTTCACTTTCAACTTCCTACTTTTACACACCCTCCCAAACTCGTCCACTAACCTTTGCAACTTTTCTTTAAAATCTCCCAAAAGCACAGTATCATCAGAAAAAAGTAACTGTGTCAACTCCCATTTTGTATTTGATTCCCCATAATTTAATCCTTCAAAGTGTCGGCGCTCTGAAGGAGGAGTGTTGATGTTGCAATTTTATAACTGTAGTGTAAGCATGCCTCTGGCAAGACAGTGATGGAGTGAGTGGTGATGAAAGTTTTTCTTTTTCAGGCCACCTTGGCTTGTTGGGAAACAACCGATGTGTTAATAAAAAGAAAATACAATCCCATCTATAATTATGTTAAACAACTATGGTGACATTACACATTCCTGTCTAAGACATACTTTTACTGGGAAGTAATCTCCCTCTCTCCTACACACCCTAACCTGAGCCTCACTATCCTCATCGAAGCTCTTTACAGCATATATGTTAACTAATTATAAGGTCACATGGAGATATGACAGAATAAATAATGACAATTTCTTAACATTTACATGAACAAAATGCCACAAATGTCAAGTGAGGAAAAAGCTATACTCAATTATACTGCATAAAATATTTTTTATTTATAGAGAGAGTGGTGAAACAAATTGCATGGGGCCAAGACAAAGTGTGGCTAACATTGAAAATTTAAGAAAAATTATATGATAGGTAAAACACCGAAGATAAGGCATCATAAGCATAGCTCTGCTCCTATAGCTACAATCTGTTCTTACCTCTGTTATAATCTGTGAGATCAAATATGACCACTCACAAGGTAAGCTCCAATTTTTGCCAGCACAACTGGTAATAACTGCTTGTCTTTCCACAACTGGTGCTGATCCACTAGCTGAGAGAAGGTAGGCGCTACGTCTACTGCCACACACTTCACCTTTGGTCATGAGTTTTAAACAATGAAAATCATGCACTGGCCAGGGAGGTATAACATCTTTTAGGAGTGAAAAAGAGCAGGATGCGAGTGTGGGGGGAGGTGCGTGAGGCATTACATAGAATGAAAGGGGGTAAAGCAGCTGGAACTGAAGGGAATATGAGTGGTTGGTGTTCTTGTTTAATAAATGTATGAAAGAGGGGAAGGTACCTAGGGATTGGCAGAGAGCATGCATAGTTCCTTTATATAAAGGGAAGGGGACAAAAAAAGATTGTCCAGGTAAAGTGTACGGTAGGGTTATTATTGAAAGAATTAGAGATAGACAGAGAGTAGAATTGCAGATCAGCAAGGAGGCTTTAGAGTGGGTAGGGGCTGTGCAGATCAAGTGTTTACATTGAAGCATATATGTGAACAGTATTTTGATAAAGGTAGGGAAATTTTCAGTGCATTTATGGATTTAGAAAAGGCATATGACAGAGTGGATAGGGGAGCAATGTGGCAAATGTTGCAAGTGTATGGAATAGGTAGTAAGCTACTAGATGCTGTAAAGAGTTTTTATAAGGAGGCTCAGGTTAGGGTGTGTAGGAAAGGGAGATTACTTCCAGGTAAAAGTAGGTCTTAGACAGGGATGTGTAATGTCACCATGGTTGTTTAATATATTTATAGATGGGGTTGTAAAAGAAGTAAATGCTAGGGTGTTGGGGAGAGGGGTAGGATTAAACTGTGGGGAATCAAATACAGTGGTACCTCAGGATATGAACTTAATTTGTTCCAGAAGGCTGTTCGAGTGCTAATACCAAACGAATTTGTTCACATAAGGAATAATGTAAATTATATTAATCCGTTTCAGACCCCCAAAAAAGCACTTACAAAAGCACTTACATAAAAACACTTACATAATTGTTCGAGTTTTCAGCTGTTCGTATCCCGAGGTACCACTGTACAAAATGGGAGTTGACACAGTTACTTTTTGCTGATGATACTTTGCTTTTGGGAGATTCTAAAGAACGTTGCAAAGGTTAGTGGATAAGCTTCAGAGGGTGTGCAAAGGTAGAAAGTTGAAAGTAAGCATAGATAAGAGTGAGGTGATGAGGGTATCAAACAATTTAGATAAAAAAAATTGGATATCACATTGGAGAGAGGGAATTTGGAAGAAGTGAATGTTTTCAGATATTTGGGAGTTGACTTGTCAGCAGATGGGTTCATGAAAGATGAGGTTGACCATAGAATTGATGAAGGAAAAAAGCTGAGTGATGCATTGAGGTATCTGTGGAGACAAAAAAAAATGTTATCCATGGAGGCAAGAAGAGAATGTATGAAAATATAATGGTACCAACACTCTCATGTGGGTGTGACGCCTGGGCTGTAAACGCTGCAGTGAGGCGGCAGCTGGAAGTAATGATATTGTGTCTAAGGGCAATGTGTGGTGTAAATATTATGCAGAAATTCAGTGTGGAAATTAGGAGGAGGTGTGGAGTTACTAAAAGTATTAGTCAGAGGGCTGGAGAGGGGTTGTTGAGGTGGTTTGGTCAGTTAGAAAGAATCAACAAAGTTGAATGACTTGGAGAACATATAAATCTGTATGGGAAGGAAGGCGGGGTATGGGTTGTCCTCGAAAAGGTTGGAGGGAGTGGGTAAAGGAGGTTTTGTGGGCGAGGAGCTTGGACTTCCAGCAAGCATGCGTGAGCGTACTAGATAGGAGTGAATGGAGACGAATGGTTGGAGTGTGAGCAGGGTGATATTTTTGTGAAGGGATTCAGGAAAACCAGTTAGCTGGACTTGAGTCCTGGAAATGGAAAGTACAATGCCTGCACTTTAAAGGAGGGGTTTTGTGATATTGGCAGTTTGGAGGGACTTCTAGACTGTCATATCTGAGAGCCTCTGCAAAGACAGTGGTAATGTACAAGTGATGGTGAAAGTGTTGAATGATGATGAAACTTTCTTTTCTTTTGGGTCACCCCGCCTCAGTGAGAAACAGCTGACGTGTTAAAAAAAAAAAAAACTATATACAAGTGTCTGAGAGTGAGAAAGTGAGAGTGAGTGAACAAGCATGTGCACTTAACGAGGTTGTTCCATTTCCTTACCACCCTGAGAGTGAAGAAATACTACCTGACATCCCTGTGACTCATCTGTATCTTTAGCTTCCAGTTGTGCCCCCAAGTACCTGTTTCCCACCTCTCAAATAGCCTGTCCCTGTTTGCCTTATCAACTCTGAGAATTTTGTATGTTATCTTGCTTTCCCTGGTCCTTCTGCCTTCCAATGTTGTTAGGACCAATTCTGTTAGCCTCTCCTCTTAGCTCATGCTCCTTAGCCCAGGAACAAGCCTTGTTGCATATTTGTGTACTTTTTCCAGAGTCTGGTACTACAGACACAAAGATTGGTCTAAAATATGTCGTATAAAGGGCCCAGCATAACTTTTGTTGAGGTTCCTGAAGACTACTCTTAGATTTGCCAGATGAGCACTGACTGCAGAGGTTAGTCAACTGATGTGATGTGCATAAGTGTGAGCTGGTCCTTGCAACCACTAGAGTGCCAGTCATTAACATCAGCTAAATAACCTCTGCAGTCAATGTTTGTCTGGAAAATCTATGAATTGCTTTCAGCTGTCAATGAATATTCCAGCCCCTTTATATACGTACCATATGTCAAGCCCATTTAGAAGTATGCTGTATTAGTGTGAAACCCACATCTGAAAAAGAATGTTAAACTCTAGAGAGAGCTTCATTATGCAATGAGGCTTGTTCTTGAGATAAAAGGTATGAGCCATGAGGAGACATTAATGGAATTAAATCTAACATCAATGGAAGATAGTAGGATCAGGGAAAACATGACAACAACATACAAATACTCAAGGGGAAGTGATACAGTAGACAAGGACAGGCTATTTGAGAGACTAGATACTAGAATAGTGGACATAGCTAGAAGTTAAAGACATAAATGAGCCACAGGGATGTCAGGAAGTATTTCTTCAGTTTCAGAGTGGGCAGGAAGTGGAAAAATCTCAGTGAAGAAGTGGAAGAGGCAAGCTCAATATATAATTTTAAGAGCAGGTATGACTGGGGCCCCCTGAGACTACAAGGAAGAAATCTGTCAGTGTGAATTGTCACTGTACATTGCTGAATTATAACAAAGAAAACATATAGATGGAAAACAAGCAACTGCAATACCAAAGTGATTTACCACTTCTATGCCCAAATCTAAGATGGCTTTTATGATTTTATTGGCTTTTTCTTGGTATCATTTGATAAAATGGAAGACAGACTACTGAAATTTTGGTTAGTTTCAGGACTGGAAGTACCTTGAATATGTGCTCAAAGTATAGGAAATACAGGATGTGATTTTTTTATAATTTCTGTGAGGATGTTAAGATCCCCCTATATCCCCCAGTTTGTTTTATGGGTTTTTACCAAGTCTGATTTAATTACTGTACTGGGATGCTGTAAACATTGACCAATCATTCCTAGTTATAATTTATTATCCAAGAAACAGGGTAAATCTTTGATTTTTTTTGTGTGATGAATTGAAAATGGGGAGGATGTGTAATATAGGAAAGGCCTGAGGATGATTAATGAACAGAGGAAATGTTGCTTTAGTACCTGGAATGTCTAGTGTTGATTTTGGACTGTTTTTAAAATTGGATTTTATTTTTGTGTGTGTGTAAAATTTACTGAATTACCAACTGAAAGGGCAGTTTCGTGCACTCAGATGATAGAATGAAAAGCATACTAGTAACAAAGCTAAGAATTTGGTTAAATTGAGCAATAGAATTAGCTTAAAATAGGACTCAAAGTGGACAAAATCACCAGTGCATGAACTGCATCCAGACTGCTAAATTTATGCCTGCATAATTCAGTGAGTTTTTCATCAAATTTCATATTTTTGTATCATTTCCTTCATAAAAAAATTCATCATTTCAAAAGAATTTTTTTATTTAACCCCTTCAGGGTCCGTCCCGTAGATCTACGGCTTTACGTTCAGGGTCCAAACCGTAGATCTACGCCATGAGCTCAGCTCACTCTGATAAACTGTGAGTGGTACATTTGGGCCTAGATATGAGAGAATACATCTATGTGGTATGTGTGCACCACATAAAACAGATCCTGCAACACACTGTGTATAATGAGACAAAAAAAATGAAATCGTGATTTTTCGATTAAAACAGCAACTTTGCAGTGTTTTTTCGTATGTTTTTTATAGTTGTATTTGCGATTTCTTGGTCTCATTTGATAGAATGGAAGACATATTACAGAAATAGAGATGATTTTGATTGGTTTTTGCACTGGAAATGGCTTGAAACTGAGCTCAAAGTAGCGGAAATGTTAAATTTTTGCCGATATTCAAGAGTAAACAAACGACCTCACACGTCTAATACACGTCAGCTGGTGGGTCTAATATACATTCACAAATATGGTGATGATATTTATACAATTATTACAGTATTGCATAACAGTAAATCTTCTATTTTTTGGTGTGAATAAAAATTCATTATGTGAATAAAAAATCAAAATGGAATTTATTTGTAAAGCCTCAAAACATAACTAATGAACAGAGAAAATGTTAGTTTAGTGCCAGGAATGCCTACATTGTTCATTCTGGACCCTATTTTGAAATTGGAATATTTTGAACTTTGTGTTAAATTGGCCAAATTAACAATTTCCGATCACTTTATTTTGTAGTTGAAACAGTTGACTTGGCGATTTCTTGTGCTCAATCGATAGAATAGAAGTAATACTAGTGAAATAGCTAAGAATTTGGTTGATTGGAATAATGTAATTGGCCTAAAATGGGAGTCGAAGTCGGCAAAATCGCCGATTCGTAAATATCGCCGACACATCAAAATTCACGAGAGCATAATTTCGTCAATTTTCCACCAAATTTCGTACTTTTTGTTTTATTACCTTCACAAAAAGATTCTCTACGATTTCATAAGAAAAAATAACAATTTTTTTTTTTTAATTCTTGGACACTGGTGCGTGACTCCAGATTTGGGCCTTGGACCCTG